CCTGTAAACATGTACTAATAAAAAAAATTCAAAGCAAGATTTTGGTAACAAAAAAAAAAATCTGGATTTCTCATACTTTCTGACTCTCCATGATAAATCACTCATGGAAATGTTGGAAGTGAACGGAAGCTAGTGTACAATGGAGACCTGCTTGCTTCTTTTCCTGTTCTGGCTCTATGCTGTTCCAGGAGGATACTCGAAACCATACATTTGGCAGGCAGTTCAGCATGCAGTCCAAACTTTCCTTCTCCCTAAGCTCTCAGGGTACATGCAGGTAGCTTGATTTGCTATCAAGAGAGTAAATATGAGGATGAGGATTGGAAGTGGGTTGTTTGGGCAAAGAATTCCAAGGCCCTTGGATGCTTGGAATTTGTGATCTAGACCGAGGAAGGAAGCCATGCATAGTGATGCACACCTGTAATCCCAGCACTCTGGGTGGCTGAGGCAGGAGGATTGCAAATTCAAGCCCAGCCTATACAACTTAATGACTTAGTAAGACTCTGTCTCAAAATAAAAAATGAAAAAAAAGGCTGGGGATACAACTCAGTGGGAAAGCCCTGGGTTCATGGTGGGGAGCAGGGTAGAAAAAGGAGGGTGAGCTCTGGATGGGTATGTACCCTTGGCTGTAGGAGAAAAGCAGCAGCTGGAGGAGGGCCAAATCTGGGCCTTCTACAGAGTAGGGCCAAAGTGGCAGGTACAATGGCAATACTACGTGGAATAAAGCCACACTCCAGTAAAGGGTGGATGTATGCAAACAACAGTGAAGTCCAGAAAGTTGCTTCTTCCCTCCTTTGCCTAAAAAATAGAAGATTGAGTTTCATGCCTTAAGAGCTACAAATATGGAGATTTAGAAAAGGAAATCTTGCATAAAAATCCTATCAGAGGGCCTGGGATTTAGTGGTTCTGGCTCCTGCCTGGAAAGCCCAAGGTCCCGAGTTCGATCCCCGGTAACAACAACAACAACAAAAATCCTATCAGAATACTGGATTTCATAAAAATTTAGAACTTTAGTTCTTTAGAAAACACTGTTAAAAGAATTAAAAGATATTCGCTGCCTGCTGATCAAGCACAAGGACCCGAGTTCGATCCCTGGTACCAAAAAAAAAAAAAAGAATAAAAAGATAATCAAGTGTATGGTCCATGCCTACAATCCTAGCATTCTGGGAGGTTTAGGCAGGAAGATCACAAATTTGAGCCTAGTCTGGGCAATTTAATGTGACTGTCTCAAAAATTAAAGGGAGGGGGTGGAGATGTAGCACAGTGCAAAGGCCTTAAGTCCCATACCTGGCACAGAACGGGGAAGGAGGAAGCCGGAGGGAGGAGGAAGGGAGAGGGAGAGAAAGGAATCTAGGCCCTTCCACAAATATTGATAATTATTGGTTTATATACTTATCTTAGAGAATTCAAAGATTGGCCAAGTGCCAAACTGAAAGCAAATAGTTTAGACTCCTGCTCAAGTTCTTCAGATTGAGAGCCAGCCTTGCAACATGGTTTCAAGTTGCCATAGGAAGAGCCTATTTCTAGACAATGCTCTGAAGATGACAATGATTCATCATTAAATACAGGATCAGTCAGGGGCCAGTCTGTCTTTATCCCAGCTTTACTGGCGTGTGTGTGTGTGTGTGTGTGTGTGTGTGTGTGTGTGTGTCTTAGATCAGACACATCACCTCTGGACGTACTTTCTTCCTCTTGCAAAAGTCTCCGCCAGATACACCAATAGGAGAATTTCTATAGTTCATTTATGAGTAGCTTGATGTGACCATAGTCAGAAATAAGATCACCAGCTTTACTGAAAGAAAATGATGTTTATAATGTTCTCCTCATATCCTTTCAAGAAATAGTTGTTGCCTGTCTACTGTAGATCAAACATTTGCTAGGGGTACAATGGTGAGCAAGACCTGATGACCTCAAAGATATGAAAGTTTAATGGAGGAGACAAACAAGTAAAACAGCAATTACAAAACAAGGATAAAGTACTTCGATTGGAATTAAAGACAGGAAAAACAAAAAAAAGGACATGTGATCTGGTTTTGTAGGACCAGGAAAGATTTTAGGGAACAAGTCAGGCTGAAGACCTGAGGGATGAAGAGGAGCTGGCCAGGAGACTGGATAGGGATGAAGCTGGAATGTTGCAAGGGCCTGGAAAGTGGGGAGAACTGGAGATGGGGGGTTCAATCAGGGTGACCTCCTCACAAGCTCCATACCCAAGGAGCTTCACTGTTTGATATGAGCAATGGAAACCAGGAGTTTATTTTCAAAATCTACTTATTTGATTATTTATTTTTGTGACTGAACCAGTGTCTCATGCATGGTAAGCAAGTGCTCTACACACTGAGCTACAACCCCAACCCTGATGCTAGGCATGGAATTTAGGACACAGAGAGGGTTTTACTAGAAAAGTATCATAAAGGGATTTATTTGCCTTTTAGAAAGATCTTCAGAACTACAGCAAGAGGATATTGAAGGGGTTCAAAATAGAGGAGGTCATTTAGGAGGTCATTTCAGTAAGCAAAATGTGCCCCAGTGACTAAACAATTGCTAATATTCCGAGCTGTTATTTCATTTAATCTTTACAACTTGATGAGGAAGATATAAAGATATAATTTCCTATTTATGGATGGGGAATCCAAGAAACAGAAAACCTAAGTAATTGCCCAAAGTCTAGTGGTTGTAATAGAAAGGAGGAGGGAGGGAGATTTTGAAATATTTAGGAAATGTGCACAGGATCACAGGACTAACTACATAATTGATATTCATTACTGACTTGAGGAGGTAGCTAAAGGAACAGGAGTTAAGAATGATATGCAAGTCTATCTTGGACAACTAAGCAATCACTGAGTAAGGAAATATAGGAAAAACAGGTGGGAGTCGTGGGAGAAAGGGCCAAACTGAGTGTGGGGTTTGATTTTGAGTTGCCTCAATAATTCCCGTCTGGAACTGTTCAGTAGGCAGCTGCAGGGGCTGCTGAAATTCAAAGTGAGATTTTGGTGTCATCAATCTGAATTTCTGCCAGAAGGAAAAAATAAAGCAACACCAACTTTGGATAAACTCAAAATGATTAAACTAAAAAAGCATTTAGGAAAACAATATGATTTCCCTCAAAACACTTTTCATTACAGAGTTATTTTCTTTCATTAATTTTACTTTGTTTCCCAGCTGTTTTTTATTTTTTGAGACAGGGTCTTGCTAAATTGTTAAATTGCCCCAGGCTAGGCTTGAATTTTTTTTTTTTTTTGTCACTGGGGATCCAGCTCGGGACCTTGCACCTATGAGGCAGGTGGCAGAACCAATAAGCTAAATCTCTGGCCCTGGGCTTGAATTTTTTATCCTCCTGCCTCAGCCTCCCAGAGTGCTGGGATTATAGGCCTGTACCACTATGGTTCACTTAGGATTTCAACGTTTCTTATCTTAAAGCCTCCTATATATGGGTAAGCAGGCCCAAGCCTGCTACTCGGTTGCAGAGGTAGGTATCTAACAAATGCTTCCTAAGAGTTTATTTCTCCCAGGGAACGAGAATCCCTTTGTAACCACACTAACTTCTAAAACACAAAGGAGCCACTTGGCAAATTATCATTTTAGTGCCCTCAATGGTGATCTAATTGTCTGCAAACACTGCCCTAACCTACTGCTAGCCCCCTAGAGGACAGTTCTTGTGGAAGGAAATTTGTTTTGATAATAGTAACAATGGTGGAATATTAACACATCAAATACCCTTGGAGGGAGGCTCCTAAACTACACTTTAGATGAATTAGCATTTTTCTTTAACTTTCTTTCCCAGCAATAAAAAATGCTGCACACACAGAAAGGAGAAAAAGAGAGGTTTGTTTTTGATGCTGGAGATTAAACTCAAGGTTAAGTAAATACTGAATTGCTGAGCTACACTCCCAGCCTTTTTAAGTAAGAGAAGAGGTCTCATTTGTTGCCCAGACTTGGACACTCAGTTCAAGCGATCCTCCAGCTCATCCTCCCAAGTAGCTAGAATTACAGGGGTGCATCACTGCACCCACGGAAAGCAGTTTTAAAATTCTTTTTGATAAAAAAAATATTTTTTTCCAAGATTTGGATATAGGGTTAACATTTTTCTTTCATATTTGTATTTTCCCTCAGTAAAAGACTAAACCACTTTCACCCATTTCCTAGGCTGGTTGACCATTAAAAAACAGATTTGGGGGCTGGGGCTATAGTTCAGTAGTAGAGCACTTGTGTTCAAACCCAGTAGTGCAAAGTGAAAGAAAGAAAGAAAAGAAAGAAAGAGAGAAAGAAAGAAAATCATAAGAGAAAATTACTTGCAAGTAATCTGGAAGTTGCAGTTACATCCTAGTAATACATAATCAAAGACATTTTCCTTTTGGGAACTCAATCTTAGTTCAGTAGAAATTATTTTAATATTCTTAATGGATACCACAAAATAGCTCCTAAAGCAATGAAGTAGCCAGGGGCAGTGGTACACACTTGTAATTCCAGTTACTTGGGAGGCTGAGGCAGGAGGATCACAAGTTTGAGGCCAGCCTGAGCAACTTAGCAAGATGCAGTCTCAAAATAAGGGATGGAAGTGCGGGGGTGAGGCTTAGTGGTAGAGCACTTGCTTAGCAAAGGTTCAATTCCCAGTGCCACCCCTATCCAAAAAAAGTCAACAAGGCCTTATCTCACTTTTCTCTTCCAAAGCTAACGAGTCACCCATACCAAATGTTGCCATGTTGCTTTTGCCACCAGCATAAGCTTCATGGAAAACTGCCCTATTTTTGCATCTTCTCAAGATATGGCAATATCCAAGGGCTCAAGTATGGTACTCCCAAATTCTTTTTTTTTTGGTACCGAGGATCGAACTTGGGTCCTTGCACTTCTTCTTTTTTTTTGGTACCGAGGATTGAACTTGGGTCCTTGCACTTGTGCAGCAGGCGGCAAAACCACTGAGCTAAATCCCCGGCCCACGTACTCCCAAATTCTTACAAGAACATGGACAGTATCTGTACATCTGTACAAAAAAGCATCAATGTAAAGACAGTCAAGTCCAAATTTAATGAATCTGATGAAAGCCCTTATATGAATTGGTGCTGGATTATTAAAAGAATTCTCAGTTGTTTTGATTTTAAAATAATACTTTTAATTAGAGAATATTGTTAGAATAATACAGATGTAGTTAGACACTAGGATAACTGTGACCGATACCATAAGGAAAACTGCTCTATAGACTTGTTTATTCACTCTCCACAACCATAGGAAACAGGCACAGAGTGTTTGGGGTTTGTGCAGAAGCAGCCAGGGGCTTGGGAGCAGAAGGCATGCAAAAACCACTAGCAAAGAGCCTCTGATGCAGGACTTCTACATGAAGTTCAGCACACCAAATGGGCAGCCATTGGCAGAAAGAGGAGACAGAGCTGGTGTGGCCTTTGCCCTTTAAACTTCCCAGCTAGAGTGTACATGTATGGAAAGATGGGAACAGGAGACTCAAGTCTCTTCTTAAGCCCTTCACCTCTAAGAAGCCAAAAAGCAGGAACAGGTTGGGAGGGGGCACGAGAGCAGCAGAGGAAAGGAGGATGAAACAGTCAGGTCACAGAGGTGTTGTCTCTGTTGCCACTCCCAAGATGACACTCGTAGTGGCTCAAAGAAGCATTAGGAAAATGTTGAAATCCATGAAAACCATCCGTAACACTGATACAGAAGATAAATTTGAGTTTAGCTACCAAGAACATATATGTCACCCAGTAATTCAAATATGAATACCCACAGTCTGCTAGATTTTGTATAGAACAAAAAACACGCTCCCTGCAACCAAGTTTGTATTTAAATAGGAGTGGCAATGTGAGGAACCTTCCTTGAGTGGTTGTTTTGTTTTGAGCATTTGCAGGTGAGGCATTCTCACCCAGCTCTGGGTTACAGTAACTCACTATGGTACACTACCCAAGAGAGACCACTGGTTCCTTTACCACCAAATTTCAAAGAGCTATGGGGAAAAAAAAAGTTTTAAAATGTTACAACATTCACAATAAAGCACAGGAGAAATACATTCAGAACACTTTCAAAAGAAAATATATTCCTTACTTCAGTCTCAGCTTCTCAGCACCCATTCCTTCCCATCCCCACAGGTTTGGATAAGGACATTTAGAATATATACTAATTCCTACTCAGGCAGAGATAAGAACTGACATTATGAGGCTGAGATTGGGTCAATTATTTTAACCACTTATATCTGTAGGCGGGGGGGATGGAGATACATTCCTACTTAGGCTTATTAATTCCTTCCGACCATGCCAATGAGTTCTTCATTGGCACAGAACACAATTCATCTGAGAATAGGACAATCAACCTATTTGTCTGGTCATTATCATTCACAATTGATGGATGCATACAAACAAGTGCTTAGTTCTGTACAAAGACAAACCTTACGAGAGAGTGCACACTCAAACACTAGTGTTTAAATTTTTTTCCATAACAAATGGAAAGGACATTTCTCACATTGGAGTTATATGTCTGTTAGTTCTGTCACATGATCCATATCACCCAAGAACATGCTCATTCTTTGTGAATTCAGTTTCTGCTATTAGAAAAAACCAAAGTGTACACATTTCACTGTACATATACATGCCATTATGCAAGCTAAGATAAACACTGAGGTGTGGCCCTATCAAACCCTAGAGTTAGCAGTATAGGGAGAATCAATCTTAAAGATTAGAGTGGAATAAACACAGAAATGACCCATGTGCCTTGGGAAATGACTGTGCTTCTTTCCCTGAAGGTCAATTCCACTTGTTCCTTTTACTCCAATATCACGTATGGTACTATCTTGCCTTGAAGATATTTTCCCTACAATGTTCTTCAGTTTCATAAACCTGATTAATGACAATAACAGCAGTGGGCATCTTTTGCTAAAGCTACTACCATCAATGGCATCAGTGGGTCCTTGGTCCTCAAACCTGTGTCTTTTTTCCTTTCACACCGTATCTTCAGTTAGCTTTCACAAAGATGCACGTTTTAAACAATTTAAGTAGATACAATGAGAAGGAGAAAAGTTGATCATTGCCTTCATCATGCAGAATTCTGCTCTCTGGAAGATGGAAAGATAGAAATGTGTGAGCAACTCAAGGAAAAAGCCCTTTGGAGTGGAAGCATGTGCCCAACTACTATGGTGTGACTAAATGTGGCAACTCACACCAAGTCTGGTTGCCTTTTCTCAAGGCAGCAGTGACCACCCTATTACAATTCTCCTAGCAGAGCTTTTTGGCCCAAGGCTGGGAGAGATAACTTTTAAAGATTTACTCCATGTCCAGGCCTGAGCATGCACCAGCATTTGTCCCCTGGTCTTCAGATTTCCAACTACTTGTGGGGCTGATTTGATGAAGTAATCCATTAATATTGAGTGAATAAAAATTATTATTTTGTAGGAAATGGGTCAGAATTTCAAAGAGATTGTCTTCTTTGATGTTTGAAACTGTGATTCACAACTAGGATAGTCAGTAGAGAAAGGGATCTCCATTATAAGGGATTTCACTGATATCAAATAAAACTGTACCTTCAAGTGAATCATTTCCCAGTCAGTTACAAGACTTAGTCGGTATGAACTCTCTTATGTTTAATAAGGGCTGAGCTCCGGCTGAAACTCTTCTCACACTCGCTACATTCATAAGGCTTCTCTCCTGTGTGGACCCTTTGGTGTGTGATGAGATTGGAGCTCTGGGTAAACCCTTTTCCACACTGCACACATTCGTAGGGCTTTTCTCCTGTGTGAGTTCTCTGGTGCTTAATTAGATCTGACCTTTCACCAAAGCTTCGCCAACACTCATTACACTCATAGGGCTTCTCCCCAGTGTGAATTTTCTGGTGTGTGATAAGATGAGAGCTCCGGCTGAAGCTTTTCCCACAAGCATTGCATTCATATGGCTTCTCTCCAGTGTGGGTCCTCTGGTGCTGAACCAAGTGTGAGATGCGGCTAAAGTTCTCCCCACACTCATTACAATGGTATGGCTTTTCCCCTGTGTGGGCTCTGCGATGCCGCACAAGGTCAGAGTTCTGACTGAAATTCTTCCCACACTCGTCACACTTGTAGGGCCTCTCACCTGTGTGCACTCGGTAGTGTTTGATGAGATCAGACCTCTCGCTGAAGCCTCGGCCGCATTCATTACACTCATAAGGCTTCTCGCCTGTGTGTGTCCTCTGGTGCTGGGCCAGGTGAGAGCTCCGGCTGAAGCTTTTCCCACACTCCTCACACTCATACGGTTTCTCTCCACTGTGGGTCCGCTGGTGCTGAATTAGATGGGAGAGACGGCAGAAACTTTTCCCACACTCATTACATTTGTGAGGCTTCTCACCAGTGTGGATTGTCTGGTGCTGGATGAGGTGAGAGCTCCTTCCAAAACTTTTCCCACACTCATTGCAGTCATATGGCCTCTCCCCAGTATGTGTTCTCTGGTGCTGAATGAGGTGGGAGCTACGGCTGAAGCCCTTTCCACATTCATAACATTTATAGGGTCTGTCTCCTGTGTGGGTTTTCTGGTGTCTGTTAAGGTCTGAAATCTGACTGAAGGCCTTTCCACAATGAGAGCATATGTGATATTGGATGCCTGTGTGGGCTTCTTTGTGGACGAGCAGATCAGTGACTTGTTGGAGAGGATAGCTGACCCACTCTTCGGCTGTCAAATCTCCCCACTGTCTTTCTGACCTGTCCCTGCTTTCAAAGGTCTCTTCACTTTCAGGATTTTCCTCAACATTCCCACCAGGTCCTTCAGATGTGGTCCCAAATTCTACATCTTCACTAATCTCTTGCTTTGGATTTACTTCATTCTCACTCCTGATTTCAAAATCTATAATAAAGGGTAAATAATAACAAGATTAGTACATAAACAAAAAAATATCTAACAAGTGCCAAGTACTACACTGAAGTTTTTTTGTTTTTTGTTTTTGGTACTGGGGAATAGAACTCAGGACCTTGCACTTGCTAGGCAGGTTTGGTGCCACTGAACTAAATCCCCAGCCCTACACTGTTTTTGTTGTTTTGTTTTGGTGCTTAGGGCCCGGGGATTTAGCTCAGTGGTTCCGGCACCTGCTTTGCAAGCACAAGGTCCCGAGTTGAATTCCCTGTACCAAAAAAAAAAAAGAAAAAGACTGTTTTGGTGCTTAGATTGAACCCAAAGCCTTATGTATGCTAGGCAAACACTCTTACCACTCAGCTGCACACCTAGCCATATACTAAGATTCCCCTCCCCCTAGGATCGAACTCAAGATCTTACACTGGTGAGGCAAGTGCAGCACCACTGAGCTAAATCCCCGGCCCCATATATAAGATCTTTACATGAATTACTTCATTCATGATCACAGCCATTCTGAAAGTCAGGCATTATGGTGACCTTTATTTTATAAATGAGAAATCCAGGACTTCGACAAATGAAGTGACTTGCTCAGGTCATAGCAGTAAATAAATGCTAGAGACAGGGCTCAGATCAAGATCTGTCTGAAAAAAAATTCATGCTCTGAATTATTATAGTTAATGGCTCTTTAAAAATATTGTATAGGTATGGCGGCACTTTCCTGTAATCCCAGCATTCAAGAGGCTAAAGCAGAAGGATTTCAAGTTCGAGGCCAGCCTGGGTTACATAGGAACCTGAAAAGGAAAAAAAAGGAAACCAAAAAGAAAAAAAAAAAACCCTAGAAAACTGAAAAACAAAACAAAACTATATATTCCTGGTGTTTTGAAAGAAGAAAACCTACAGAAATATATAATATAAGAGACTCTAAATCAGAGTCTACAAGCCAGAGCCTATATATTTTAAATTAGAAAACTCTAAATTGGCCCGGGGATTTAGCTCATTGGTTCCAGCACCTGCCTCACAAGTGCAAGGTCCTGAGTTCGATCTCCAGTACCGGGGGAGGTGGGGGGTGGGGTGGGGACGCTACATTAGAATCCCTACAAGCCACAGCACATATTTCATGTGTGTGCATATATTTTGTTCAACCTGTCAAGCCTTCATTATTATCATGAAAATATGTAGTAAGAACCTACTATGTTGGCATGGAGAAGAACAAAGTTTTAGCTATCTGTATCATATTTTAGTTGATAGAAAAAATGACTGTTGGATGTCACTTGCTACTTTCAATGAAAATGGTGTGGGGAGGTTAAAGAAAGCAAAAAAGATGTTTGGCTTCAAACATTCCATGTGCCTGTGTGTGTGTGTGTGTGTGTGTGTGTGTGTGTATTTATGGTGCTGGGGATTAAACTCAGACCTCACATATGCTAGGCATGCACTCTACTACTGAGCTATACATCCCTGGCTCAGATTATTCTTAGCATTGAGTAAGTATATTGCATAATTTTCAAATGAAAATCAAAATATACAATCATGTCTACAAGGAACTTTCTACCAGACATTCCATTTTCCAAATTGAGTTTCTTTGTATACTCTTCAGAAAAAAGTTTAAGGTATGTTGGGAGAAAGGGCCATAAATTAGCTTGATAAGTGGTACAAATTATATCCTTTCATTAGAAATCTACAACGCTTGATAATACATTAAAGGTACTAAGACCTCTTCTGGTAAGTATTCTTTTTTTGTTTTGTTTTGGAACCCGGAATTGAACTTGGGTCTTTGAGCTTGTGGGGCAGGTGGCAGAACCACTGAGCTAAATCTCTGGCCCACCTTGTAAGTATTCTTTAACCATCTTCCAAAATTACTTGGGCAAGAAACCAGTTTTTGGTACTTCCATCCTTCTAACAAATGCTCCTTAGGCTAGACCACAGAAATGCAAATTTATACTTTTTTAAGATTTTCAGGGTCAGGGATTTAGCTCAGTGGTTTTGGCGCCTGCTGCGCAAGCGCAAGGACCCAAGTTCAATCCCCAGTACCGAAAAAAAAAAAAATTTTTTTTCATTTCTTGTTTTTTGTTGGATTGAGTAAAAAACTGGGGTTACAGACTACAATACATCTGGGAAGATAACACTATTTATGGTTTCTTTCCCTTTGTTTTTTGCTTTTGTTTTGAGGCAAGGTCTCACAACATAGCTCAGGCTGGCTTTTAACTCACAATCCTACTGTCTCACCCTCCTGAGTACTGGGGAATACAGGCATGCATCAGATCACCTGGATTACATTCATTTGTTTGTTTTTTGGGTATTGAGTATCAAACCCAGGTGCACTCTACCATGTACCACCATGCCCAGCTTTATGGTAGCTTTTCTATAGAAAGAAATCAAGCAACGAGAGATATTAGAGAAAGACTAAATTAAGAAGAAAACCCCTCAAGTTGCTTTTTGTACTGAGAAAAGATGTGGGAGTGAAGATTTCAAAAAATGGATTACTTCTAGTGAATGACAGACAATATGGAGAACCATACACACCTGCTAACTCCTGTCAAGTCATAACAGGAGATAAAGTGAGTCAAAAGACTGTTCATTTTAAGACTATATTGTTTATTCTAGTTACACCCGGGCCAAAGGACAGCTAGGAAAGAAAACTCTTTGTAGACCATGAAAAAAAAAGCCATACTCTCTTAATAGAATTTATGATCTCACTATTTCAGGATTCTCCTGGAACAACATTTGACACACTTAAGATCTATGATAAACTCTGAAATATCTCTAGACAAGAATCTCCTCAGAAAAAGGATCTGAGGCAAGGGTAGCGTCTGAAGCCAAAGCAAACACGGGTGGTTTCTGCCCTCCCGTGAACCTAGGTCAGAGCCCCTCATTTTCTAGTGCCCTTGAGTGAAAGCACCATTTACGGGGCATTTATATCCTGGCAAACACCATTATGTCAGACCAGTTTGGTCAGTGATCTGTACAAACAGGCCATTGCAAATGACTCAGGGCACAAGAAATCTGAATGTTTCTAAAATGAACAGAAACATTTTTTCTTTTCAAACAATATGACCTAGATGCTTTCACATTCAAAGATTTGCCTGAGCATTGAACTCAAGCCAATATCCAATTAAGTGCTTTAAAAATCTAAGAACTAGGCTATGTTGAAAGAGCTAAACCATTTTGACACAGCTGCAAAAGCCGGGATGGGGGGAGGTGTTTGTGAAGAAAGGCCAAATCCTTACTTACCTAATGAGACAACATTTCCATAATTCTCCTGCATAACATCTCTGTAAAGGTCCCTCTGTGTAGGATCCAGAGGTCTCCATTCTTCCCGGGTGAGGTACATGGCCATGTCTTCAAATGTCACAGGTCCCTGAAATCACACAATGCTTCCTCACTATTCCGTATCTAAGTGGTTAGTACCAGTTTTTCTTCTCGAAATTACAGACATGGTTAGAAATGTTGAAGAGGCAAAGGCATTAAGTCTGACCTGTAGAGTCCAAAAAAAAAAGGACATGTGGCATGTGGTAAAAAACGAAAACAAAACTGACTGCTCTGCTTTGGTTCCAAGGCCAGATATCCCTGCCGCACTTAAGGAACTTCACACTCCATCCATGCCTTTTTTCACAACACACCTAACATTTACATCGCTCCATACCTATACGTGCCGTGTTCCTCTTTTCTTGTATTACCTTTCTCAGATCAATGCTTTATGGTCTTTACTCTAGTGCCAAGTGCTCTTCGGCGACCTGTCCCCTCCGTGCCCCTCCACTCCTCCCTTGGATGCCCCAGAGAGAATTAATCACTTCTACTTTTTGATTCCCACCTCACAGCACTTCGTTGCTACAGCAAACCGCGCACTTACAGCGTTGTACCAAGGTTAACCCGGTGAGGCTTTCTCCTTACAGAACGTGAGCAGATGGGCAGCGCCCGTCTTGTCTTTTATCTCCCCAGCATTTAAAAGCATACAGCAGGTGTTCAACATATGCTTGCTTGTGACTATACTGGTATTAGGCCCTTGGAGGCAGAATACCGAAGCAAGCGAATTACTAATTCCACAGGGGTATGCAGAATAGAGAAATCCCGGACGAGTTGGGTAAGCAGAGGCAAGGTCCGAGAAGCCATGCCCGGCTTACCTGGCTCCCAGCCATGAGCAGGGTGGCTGCCATCTCGGGCACAACGGTTCGCCTCCCGGGAGAGCAGGAAAAGCAGCTAGCATGCAGCGCTGAAGGAGGCGAAAAGCAGGGCGTGAGGCACGGGAAACAGGCCCTGCCCACTCCCCAGGGCAGGAGTTCTGGCAGCAAGGCGGGCAGGGAGGGCCCTAGAGCAGGGCCGGGCCAGTCTCCCAGCTGACCCCTCAAGTGTGACCCGCCCTCTGAGTCTCCGCCACCAAGGAGTGGAGGCACTGCCAGAATCGACTGGGACAGCCACCTAGCTGGATCCCTCTGGGAACGGCGGTTAGCCGGATAGTCCGATGCTGTCTCAGGGAGGAGGCTCAGCCCAGCCCACAGAACGCCTCTGCTCTTCCATCTCCAGGCAGAGTCCTTTCCGGCAGCTGCCCCAGCCAGTCAGCATACTAAACCCTCAAAACATCGTACCAATCAGATGCCGAGCATTCGGTCCACCTCCTGCAGCGTGTCCGGCCACCTCTACCACGCCTGCGCCTGCCCGGTGGCCTGCCGGGAGTTGGAGTTCCACTCCCGCGTACAAAGGCCAGTCGGGGGCCAGGACGAGGAGGGAAAAGAACAAAAGGGTGAAGAAGGAAGTGCGTTCTCCTCCTAGTCAAGGCGGAGTATCTTCCGCTTTTTTCCCTTGGAGACCACAGCCTGTTTAAGCAAGGGAGGTGGCCCTACTTTTCCTCATGTCCCTACAAAGCGTCTCTTGAGTCAGATCTTATTATCCGTGATATCAGACTTAATTTAGGTGCTGGCTTGTGCAGAGATTCGCTGCAATTAGCTCTCATTTGACAGCCAAGGCCAAAGAGGAAAGCAGCAGCCGCCCACTCTCCGGGGGAGTAGGCAGCAGCGCTTCAACTTTGGGCCCCGCCCACGCACTACACCTCCCAGCTGCGCCTCAGGCACTTGCACTCAGCGAACTACAGCTCCCAGGGGCTCCCGCGGCACTTGAATCCTGCAGCCCGACCACAACTCCCGGCAGGCCCTGCGCCGCCTGTCCTGCGTTTGAGTGTGGTCTGCTGCACTACCCGGTTGTCTGGACTAAGTTGCTGTTAACCCTGTAGAGGTATCCGACCACGTCTAAAGACCGTGCCCCTTGAAAGGGGGCTGAATTGTCGCCCATCGAAGGAGAGAAACCTTGAAAAATCAGAAACGCGGGTAGGGGTGGAGCGTGTAAGGAGATAGTCAGTCCCCAGGGCTGGTGGTCCTTATCCTGAGGGCCTGTCTGCCAAAAGGGTTGCTGGAAGCCTCCGGCACCACCGAAAGGGCCCTGGGCCTCTAAGGGCCTGACCCAGGCGAATCCTCAGGAGGTGAGCAGTCATTAGTGAAAGTTGGAAGCCAAAAACTCGGTTTGCAGACCAACAGACTTACCTCCTGACCGCAAAAGATCGGAGAGGCCTCAAACGGATCTCAAAGCCGCAGATAGTTCTCTCAGGCCTCTGATATTCGGAGAGATTGTAGAGATCACTGGAAGATCCCGGAGATCTCAGACCCTCAGGTAGATCTTGAATCCGTAGAGTTGCAGGCAAAGCCCAAAATTCAGGCTTAGACTCTCAGACCGCTCAGAGAAACCACAGGCTCACAGGCAGATCCCTTGAGGCCACAGTAGCTGGCCAGAAAACACCGCCATCAGCTAAACTGTATTCATCTGGAGTTCCGCGGAGCGGAAGGACTTGCAGCCTTCCCTTTCCCCAGCCAGGGCTAGGGAGTTAGACAATGGAAGTCCAGCACTAGGCAAAGCAGGCATTATGCGCGGGGGGAAGAGCTTTGAGCTCACTGTAGTCTCAGAGAGGGAAGTGATGGAAAAAGAATATAGCAGCTTATTAGGGACTCCCACCCTCTTCAAGTTATAAATATCCCCAGAACCTTGGCTACTTGCCCGGAGGCCTGTTGTCTCCTAACTGTACAGGAGATTTCTCTGCCTAGGCTGGGAAAGGGGCTTTTCTTTTGTTTTACAGACCCATCCACCCACTGAAGGGCTTGGATTAAAAAAAGAAAACAAAACCATGATTCTGGGCAATGCTTTTATTAGTGAGTATCCTGTTCCCAGTGTCTAGTTATTTATGCTTAAATTAATCAAGTGTCTAAAAAGAAGTGGTAGGACCCTACCCAGCATAATGCAGTACCTCCCACTCCTATTCCTCTTTCCACCCCCACAGTGGGGCTAGGGAATCCTTAGATGCTATAGAATTGTACTATCTTTTTTGGGGGGGGGGTCCTGAGATTGAACTCAGGACCTTGCGCTTGTGAGGCAAGTGCAGTGCCACCGCGCTAAATCCCCAGCTGTACTATCTTACTCTATCTGAAATTGATCACTACTTAAGTTAGAATCCTCAAAGAGTTCCCAAGAGGCAGGATCCTTAGTGGAAAGAATGTGGGGATCAAGGTCAGGCAGACCTGGGTTAGAACCCAGACTGTGTATCCTGCAGAAAGCCATTTAATCATTCCAAGTTCATTTCGTTTTTTGTAAAATGGTAACAGTTATACCTAAGGATGTCGTGAGGATTAAGTGAGATGACTTAAAGCACTCCACAATGAGTGAGCATTCGGGTGATAACCATTATTATTAATCCTGCCTTTGGTGACAAGGGAGATTGGCAGAAAGGCCTGTGGATATATTCAATGGCCCTGAAAATCTGAGAAATTAGAGTGCCTCAATAGATGTGAAGACCTGAGGATGACCTTATCCTCACACTGTGTTTCTGCTGGAAATTCAAACAGAACTGGTAGTTGGGCAAATTTGGTGGGCTCAAGTGAATACTGTTGGGGCTGCCCACTAGCTGCCAGAGACCCCAAGTTTAAGGCCTCACACTCTGGGAAATCACTAGATCAGGGGTCAGTAACCAACTTCTAGGAACAAGGTGGGGGTGGGGATCCATGGAGACTTTGCCTATGGAATTTCAATTTTTTTTTTCCTATCAGGAATCAAACTTAGGACCTTGCCCTTGCCAAGCAGGTGCGGTGCGGCTGAGCTACACTCTTGACCCTGGAATTGTAGGTTTCTAGCTGAGCCTAAGGTGATAGGATGGCCTGAGTCCCTCAGCCCAGCAGGACTCTGTTTTCATCCTTTTTCTGGCAGATAGCTTTGTAAACTTTCTTCTTCCCTCCACCCCCTTGCTCTAGTACATTAAGCCCTTCTTTGTCCTCTCTTTCTTTTATTCATCAGGACTGCCTGGGCAAGATGGCTCTCCAAGCCCAGCTTGGCTGCTTGCCTCTTTCTGTAAGTGCTTTTTTTCCCCTTACCTAAGACCCTCTGGGGAGGGTGGAGGAGAAGCCAGGCTGCCAGTGGATGACTGCATTTGGAGCCCTTAGGGGCAGTGGGGAGAGGGGGAGAAAAGACAGTGGCCAAGGGGCTTTCTGTTGCAGCTTTCAGCTGGACTTTGAGGGTTGGGGTCAGTGGAGGAGGAGGTGGCTTCCTGCCACATTGTTCAGAACTTCAGGATTTCTCAGGAATATTTACTGTATGTGGATTTTCAATAACTACTTGAAAAACTGTTCCCATCATTCAGCAGATGATGAAGGCCTACCATGGGCAGAGGCAGCAGTAAGCGTATCACTGGGGAATGGGGCCAGAGAGCCATTTGGCCAGGATCTCCAATTTAGGCCTCGAAATTATCTCCAAATAAGGGTTTGCATTGTGTCAGATCCACTCTCTGATTGATCAAAGACTCTCCTTTGATATCTTTAAACTTGTGCCCTATGATGAGACCACTGTGCCTGCGGAACACTGTAAATTATTATTATTATTATTTTGGTACCGGGAATTGAACTCAGGGCCTCATGCTTGCCAGGCAGGCACTGCACCACTGTGTACATTATTGTATTTTAATAAATCTTATAATAATCCTGTGAGCAGCACAATAATGTACATTTTTAGTATCAGAAGCATTAAATCGTTAAAACATTAAAAATTGTCCCCGAGTGTTTCTCATGTCTTTATTTTCAAAGACAGGGAACATTAGAAAGTTGCAATAACCTGGGCTTCCCTTAACTCCTGCCAGGAAGTGATGAAAGCTCATCACTGCATAGGAGTTGGGGTCAGGGCCCATTGATTTGCCTAGTCACTACAGCCCCCCTGGCTTTCCTAAAGGTGAGCTAGTCTGCACCCAGGAAGGAGAGGACTCCTAGCTGGGGAGGAGGAAAGAAGGCTTCCCACAGAAGGTAATATCTGGCTTGCAAAGAATGGAACAATTTTGGAGGTGGAGAAGGTGGGAAGGAAAGTTTCAGTCTTCAAGAACAGCATGTGTAGTCAAACGATGTGGCAAGCATGCCTATCATTCCAGTCCTCTGGGAGGACTGGAGAGACAGGAGAATCACAAGTTTGAGCCCTGCCTGGGCAATTTAGAGACTTAGCAAGACTACCTCAACATAAAAAAAAAAATTTTTAAAGGGCTGGGGCTGCAGCCCTGGGTTCAAAACCTAGTATTGAAAAGAGAGGAGAGGGAAGGAAGGGACAGGAGTGAAGAAAAGAAAAGAAAAAGAACATGTGGGAAGGCACAGAGACGTGAAAAGCTGGAACATGATGTCCCAGAATGGCTGGGACTGGTTATGGCTAGAGGGAAGTGTGCTTGTGCAGGCGGCCTGGGGACTGGTCAGGGAAAGAGCAGATTGACCCTGCAGGAGGGTGGAGTGCAGAGGACTGGGAAGCCTGCCTCATGTATTTCTGGTGCTTTTCTCCAATGAGAATATTTTCCAAAGCTATGTAGAGCCAGGCATTGTGCCTCATGCCTGTAATCCCAGCTACTCAGGAGGCTGAGACAGGAGGATCACAAATTTGAGGCAACCTGGGCAATTTAGCAAGACCCTGTAGCAAAAAAAAAAAAAGGCTGGGGTTGTAGCTCAGTGGTAGAGTGCTTGCCTAGCATTCATGAGGCCCTAGGTTCTATTCCCAGCACCTCCAGAAAAAAAAAAAGACAATTACATTAAAAATGTACTACAGGGTCAGGGATTTAGCTCAGTGGTTCTGATGCCTGCCCTCACAAGCGAAAGGACCTGAGTTCAATCCCGGTACCAAAAAAAAGTACAACAAACTTATTTAGTATCATCTATCTTATTTAAAGACACCAAATAAGCCCAATTATTGAACCTTACTCTGTACCAGACACTGAGCTGGGAAATCGGACAGCACCCCTCACTCTGACAGAGGCTTGCTGTTAGGATTAAATGTGAGAAGAGCACAGAGGAGGACTTTGGCATATGTGGGAGAGGTAAAACATACCACAGATGCTCTTTGAGGTGAGGCTATATTTCATGCTGACTCAGCATGATTGGGGCTTGGGTTCAAGTCCGGACTCTCTCCTGGGGTTCCTCAGCTTGTAAGGAGAACATACAATAGTATAGAAGCTAGCTAAGACAAGAGGATCAGAAATTGAAGGCCAGCTTGGCAAATTTAGTGAGACCCTGTCTCCCAAAAGTGCTGGCGTTATAGCTCAGTGGTACAGAGCAATTGGTTAGCATGTGTGAGGTCCTGGGTTCAATCCCCAGTACAAGACCACAAAAAAAGAGAGTATAATAATATAAATTCAGAGAGACAGGACAGAGGTTGCCAGGGGGAGAGGGAAATGAGGAGCTGCTGAATAGAGATTGTTTTGTAAGATAAAAAAAATTCTGGAGATTGGTTGCATAACAGTGTGAATCTTGTATGTAACTTGAATGTACATAATTCTACTAAATTACACTTAAAAATGATTAAGGGCTAGGGTGCAGGGCAGTGGTTGATTGCTAACCTAATACACACAAGGCTCTGGTCCAAATCCCAGCACCACACACACACACACACACACACACACACACACAGGTTAAGATGGTTTCTATTATGTATATTTTACCACAACTTTAAAAAAGAGTGTGATGAGCTGAACATGGTGGCTCATGCCTGTAATCTCAGTACTCAGAAGGCTAAGGGAGGAAATCTCAATATAGCAAGACCCTGTCTTGCTATAAAATGAAAGGGCTGGGGATGTAGCTCAGTGTGAAGGCTCTGGGTTCATCCCCAGTACCAGAAAAACAAAACAAAAAGAATTTAGTAACAGTTACCTAGTTCACAGGCCAGAGGATTAATTGAGGTAATGTGCAGTGCTCTCTTGCATTCCTAGTAAT